GGCTGAGAAGCACCGCGAGAAGCCGAGGCTGCGGACGAGCCTCGGTCTTCCCTCGCAGACTGAGAAGCACCGCGAGAAGCCGAGGCGGCTGACGAGTGTTGGGGCGAGGCGAGTGCCATTGCAATGCCGCCAGCGAAGGCCACGAGGCAGGAGCGTTTTGAACCAACCGCGGCTATCAGAGGCAGAGGAAAAGTAGGTTGCCAGTAAAAGGACGAAGAACACGAGATGACCTACAGTGGGCTCCGGGCATCCAAAATAGAGCCCGGGAATGGGGCTCTAAGCAGTCCAAGAACACGAAGTGGCCTACAGTTGACTCCGGGCATCCAAAATGTGGCCCGGAGAACACGAAGTGGCCTACAGTTGGCTCCTGGCATACAAAATGTGGGCCGGGAATGGAATTCTGGGAGCACAGTTGGCGCCGGGCATCCAAAATGTAGCCCGGGAGTGGAGTTCTGGGACCGCCAAGAGCGATTTTGCGAGGATGTCCCAGGCGATTTGGGCTCCGACGGCAGCCGCCGGCTTTCCCCCGGATGCCGCCCAGACCCCCCTGGGGAGTCATGATGCTCTCTTTTGACCCTACTAGAAACCTATCAGTCTTCGCTGCTATGTAAAAACGTAGTGTCTAAACATGGCTACTCGTGGCTAAAATCGATGTATTGCCGTGGATATTTCGTGGCTAATCGGGGCTAATTCACAGTCGCGACCTAGACGGGGGAAACGCTAAACATCGTTGCCCGCACGATCAAGCAAGTTGCCCCACAAAAGACACACCCGCATCGCGCCAGGAGGAGGAAGCGGAGGAGGGGGAAGGAGAATGAGCAAGAAGAGGAAGAGGGTGCGGGAGGAAATTGGACACGATGATGTCGAGCATAACGACTACGACGACGATGGAGAGGAATACGACGAATACGAAAACCATTGGGACGACGACGACGGCGGCGGCGAGGACGACGACGAGGAGGACGACGACGAGGACGACGACGACGACGACGGCAGAAGGCAACCACCAAGGCAACCGCTTCCGATGGTTCTTTAAGGCTTCAAAATGACTCCAAGATTGCCCAAGAGGTTCCCAGGAAGGCCCCAACACGGCCCCAATAACGCCCAAGACCGCTCCAAAAACGCCCCAATAGGGCGCCAAGAAGCAAATGTCGGGCTCCAGGGGAGGGGAAACTGCGACCCCCCCCCTCTGATGATCGATGGCCTCCAAGATGGCCCCATGCTCTGAAGAAGGCCCCAACAGGGCCCCAAGAGAGCCCCAATAAGGTCCCAAGAGAACCCCAAGAGGGCCCAAGAGGCTTCCAAACTGGCCTCCAGAGGGCCCTCCGATGGCCCCAAGAAGCCTCCAACACAATCCCTTAGCGAAAGACTTGCAAAGACCTCGGTGGTTGACTCCTGACGTCGTCGTCGTCGTAGCAGTCGCCGCCGCGTCGTCGGCCGCCGCCGCCAGCGCCGTCGTCGTCTTCGTCGTCGTCTTCGTCATCGTTCTTGCTGTTGTTCGTCTTATTGCTCTCTTTCGTTTTACGATTATCATTATTATTAGTATTATTATTCGTCGTAGTGTCCTTGTTCGCCCACATATGTTACTAGAACCACGCGCGCGCTTCGCGCGCGCTTAGGTTCTAGCGCAGACACTGGCGACTGCAATGTCGAATGGTCTCGTCATCGATTCTTTCGTCCCCCTCTCCTTGGGCTCCTCCTCCTCCTCCTCCTCCTCCTTCTCTCCGTGGCAGCGGCAAAACACTCGTTCCCCCCTCCCCCCTCCCCCACTCGCCGGGACGCTCTCGAATGATCACGCGCTGCGGTTTCCCATGCCGACGTCCTCGGACGTGGGCGCCCTGCCACGAGCGCGTTCCGGGAAGATGCTCCCGGAACGCGCTGAAAAGATATGGCCACATCTCGGGGGCGCTCCCGGCACCGCTCCCCCAGCCTTTCCAGGGAGCGTCCACAGCGCTCCAGGAGGGACCAAGACGCCCCCCAGGAGCCCCCAGAATGCGAAAGGATGGCCGGAGACGCTCCCGAGCAGCACAAGTCAGCCTTCGGGCGGCTCTCGAGGCTCCCAGGTGGCCCCCAAGAGACCCCAAGAAGTCTGATAGGTATCACGGTACGGCCCGAAGAGGCCCAAGTCCTATATGTTCAATGGTATTTTCAATGTTTTTGGCTTCTCGCGTTTTCGAGCTTCCAACGGTCCAAGAGCGCCGAAGAGCCTCCCAAGACCGGCCCAAGACCACCCAAGAGACCCGCAGGACGGCCCCAAGACGGGCCAAGAAGCTTTCAAGACTGCCGAAGAGGCGCCCAGCACAGCCCCAGATCACCCGAGAACATGCCCAAGATGGGCCCAAGAGCAGGAGCAGGAGGCTTCCAGAGACCTCCGAGAGGCCTCCCCCCAGAGGCCCCCAACACACCCCCCATCCTTGAGAGGCCCCACAAAGAGACCCTGACGAGGCTCCAAGAACAGCCCAAGAGAGCTGCGAGAACCGTCCCGAAAGAGCCCACAGAGGGTAAGATCTTTGATTTTCCATAGTTTTTCCTATGTTTTTCGCCTTCTCACGTTTTCCCGCTTCCAGCCCTTAAAGATCGAGGATTTGGGAAAAAGAAAGGGAATTCCAAGAATTCCTTTTTTTCATAAAAAAGTGGAACTCCTATTCGGGGGTCCTACATATCCCCTGGCATCTGGCCGGTACCGCGCCTCCCTGCTTCCCAACGTATTCGCGGAGTCTCCGAAGGCCCCAAGGAATCCGGGAATTGTGGATTTGGGTTAGAATCTCATCCATTCAGGATTCAGGACAGTATGCCCGGGCCCGGGCATAGTGTCCAGGCCATCCAATGCTCCACAGTCGCTGTGCGTCTGCAGTGGGGACCGTGTTTAGTCTGAGCGTGCATGGGCGTGTCCATTGGTCAAAGCACCACAGAAGAGGTGGCGCTGCCATTCTGGCTGACCAGCCGCGCCCGCCGCCGCGCATCTCTTTTTCTCCATGCCGATGCCGTGAGACCGTTTCTAATCATGCCCTGGCGATAACGGGCGTGACCGAGGGGGGGGACGGGGTGGGGTGGGGTGGGGTGAGCCTTGGGACAAACCCGAAAACACGGGCGAGCAAATAGCCCCCCAGTGATGGCCATCGCAGCCCCCCAGGGATGGCGAGGTCAAATTTGGGTCCGTGGCGTCACTGTGCTGGGCCCCCCAGCAGGCCTCGAAAGTGGCGACAGTTTCACAGATCACAGCCCCCCAGGGATGGCGAGGTCTAATTTGGGTCCGCGCGTGGCGTCACTGTGCTGGGCCCCCCAGCAGGCCTCGAAAGTGGCGACAGTTTCACAGATCGCAGCCCCCCAGGGATGGCGAGGTCTAATTTGGGTCCGCGCGTGGCGTCACTGTGCTGGGCCCCCCAGCAGGCCTCGAAAGTGGCGACAGTTTCACAGATCGCAGCCCCCCAGGGATGGCGAGGTCTAATTTGGGTCCGCCCGTGGCGTCACTGTGCTGGGCCCCCCAGCAGGCCTCGAAAGTGGCGACAGTTTCACAGATCGCAGCCCCCCAGGGATGGCGAGGTCTAATTTGGGTCCGCGCGTGGCGTCACTGTGCTGGGCCCCCCAGCAGGCCTCGAAAGTGGCGACAGTTTCACAGATCGCAGCCCCCCAGGGGTGGCGAGGTCTAATTTGGGTCCGCGCGTGGCGTCACTGTGCTGGGCCCCCAGCAGGCCTCGAAAGTGGCGACAGTTTCACAGATCGCAGCCCCCCGCAGGCAAGACAGGAGGAGGCGAGAGGGAGGCGGGACGGGAAGGAGTGGAGACAACACTGCTCTATTCAAAACGAATACCCAACCAAGGAGGGTTGGGAAAAAATGTCCGAAGGGTTTCCACAATGGCTCGGGGTACACGGTGTCCGATAGCTTGACCGAGCTCTGGCAGGGGGCGGCGATGATTCGCCGTAGGCGTCTTCCATCCGCCGCACCCCTTGTAAGCATATTATAAGTGTTTCTCACAGTGGCGTTTGACAGATGCGCGAACGCCTCACCTTATCCTATCCGTCTAAGCCCTAACTCCTCCACTGTGCCAGGGGTCTCCGCGCGGCTGGCTTGCGTTTCCAACGGCTGCACGTTGATTGACCGCGCGTTGTCAGCAGAGTTAGAAGACGGATGATCTTGATTTGATCGGGAACTTTGATTTCGCGTGTCGTTTGCTGGTCTCGCCCGCCCTCCTTCGCTGTGCTGGAGTTCCGTGCGGCCGGCTGGCATTTTTCAGCGGCGTTGACGGACCGGGTGGTGCCAGCAGAGTTAGAAGAAGGCTGATTTTAAAGAAATGTTTGAAGGACGGTGTGGCATGCAAACAACCCGCCCCCCCCAAAAAAAAATTGACGCCTCTCCAGAGCGCTTCAAGCTAGAGGCCGAAATCGTCAATTATACGAAGGTGTTCGAACGATTTTGGCATTCCAGCTTTTTCGGTTTTTCCGGCTGTCTGGGCCGTGTCCGGGCCGGGTCCGGGCCGGGTCCGGGCCGGGTCCGGGCCGGGTCCGGGCCGGGCCAGGTCCGGGCCGGGTCCGGGCCGGCTGGGTCTGGGTTCGGGCCGGGTCAGGGCCGGGTCCGGGTCTGGGTCCGGGCCGGGTCCGGGTCTGGGTCCGGGCCGGGTCCGGGCCGGGTCCGTGCCGGGTCGCCGGGTGGGCGCCGGGTCGGGGAAGCCTTGTCAACACCTCTCTGGAGAGCGGTGTTGACAAGGACCGGGGCGGGTGGTAAAGCAAACCCGGGGTCCGGGCCGGTTGAAATCAGGCTCAGAACATGTTTCCGACACTTCGAACACATCTGAAGCTCAATGATAGGACTGGCAGGGTCTCCATTGCCGTGGCAGCCACAAGGCCAGAGCCGCCGAGCCCCGCGGCCCGCCCGCCGCCCCCCTTTCGCGCCCGCCCGGCCCCGCCGCGGCGGCCGCCCCGCACGCGGCGGCCCCGCCGCGGCGGCCGCTGTGATGTGTGCGGGCACCGCTGCCGCGGGCGCTCTCGGCGGCATGGCCGCGCCCTCGCGCCCTGGCGCCGACGGCGGCTACCCCGCCCCTCCGCCGCCGAGGCTCTCCCGGGGGGGAGAAGGTATGTATGTATGTATGTATGTATGTATGTATGTATGTATGTATGTATGTATGTATGTATGTATGTATGTATGTATGTATGTATGTATATATATATATATATATATATATATATATATACCGATGGCCGCTGCTCGTCCAGGAGGGCCCGCGTGGCCACGGCCGGGCTCTCCTCGGAGCTCCAGTCGGCGCGCAGCCCATGGAGAGGTCCCGGGAGCCCTCGGACGGTGTGGCAGCCACACCCGCGTGGTGAGTCAGTGGGAGTTCGGGGCCACCGCGCGGGTTTACAGCTCGGGCCGTTCTCCGAGAGCGCCTCTGGCGGCCGGAGCCTCCATAGGGGGTCCCGAGGCCGTGCGGCGGCGGGCCGTGCGGAGAGGTCTCCGGGGATTCCTTCCGAGGTCCCCCCCCGCAGTCTGTCGCCGCACGGTTCTGGGACCAACGCGGGGAGCAGCGGTATCTCAGGTCACTCCCAGGGGCGCGAAGGTAGAGTCGCGCTCTCCGCGCACCGCGGCCGGGGTTGGAGAGCCGCCCCTCTCCAGGGGGGGGGGGGGCGGTGCGAGGGCGCGAGGGCACGAGCAAAGCCGCGCGAGGCGCATCGCGGGGCGCGAGGCGCGAAGTGAATTGGGCGACCATGGGTGCCACCTCCAGCCAGGCGGTGACGAGAGGTTCCTTGGCGCTCCAAACCGGGGCACCCCGCACACGCCCGCCGCAGGATCGGCCTTCGCACAAACATATGGTTTTTACGCTCCGCGAGTCCCCACCAGCCGCTGCTGTACAGACAGGAGAGGTGCTGCCGTCTGCAGTCCTATCTGTGACGAGGTTGCTCAAGCAGTGGCGAAGCGTCCTGGCTCGCCTACAGCCCCACCAAACAATGTTCTAAGAACCTTCTGTGGTTTCCACGAAATGTTCTTAGAACATTTCTGGCGGATATGGTTTTGTTTTAACACATCGGGTCTCTGTTCTAAGAACATTGTTTTTGTTCTTAGAACAGTTCTGGGTTCTAAGAACATTTCGTGGTAGGACTACAGGAATGCCGGGACGGTCGGTCCCTGCTCAAGTTGCCTCTCTTCATTCTTGCGCTGACACGATGCAGTTGTGTCGCTTGCTGCACGGACGTCGTCTGGGTGTGCCTGTCGTTCCTGCTCGTCTCTGACGGTGCCTTATGCCGATTCACACCGAGTGATTGACCTCTGCGTGTTTATGGTCGCGCCGCCGCGCCATTTTGGCTGCGCTTGCTTGATGGTCGCCCTGGGATCTCCACGCCACCGGGTTGGGAGTTTCGTTTCTGTTTCTTCTTCTGAGTGGCTGCCCGCGCGCTCGCTTCGCTTGCCTCTCTTTTCCTGCTGCCTAGTCGCGGCCCGGCTCGTGTCCGACTGCTTTCGACCGGTGCGAGCCCGCAGACCAAAAAGAATCCCCACCAGCCCAATTCAGGAGCCTGCCCATGAGAGCTGACGGGAACAGGGACGAAGAGATACATGTAGTGAAACGAAGCGGGCAACCAGGGTGAACAAGAGATCTCGGGGAGCAAAGGGGTGGCCTTGGAGGGCCTCTTGGTGCCATCCCCATGGCCCGCGCGGGAGCGAGGGGAGGAGGGGGAAGCATACGACGACGACGACGACGACGACCACGACGACGAGGAAGAGGAGGAACATGAAGAGGAAGACGATGAGGGAAGGAACGACGACGAGGACGAGGATGAGGAGGAGGATGAGAACAACGGGGACGAGGACCCATGGGGCCATCTTATGAGGATATGGAGCAGGGCGAGGAGGAGGAGGAGGATTAGGAAGAAGGGCACGAGGACGACGAGGGCGACAACCAGGAGTAGGACAAAGACGAGGACGAGGACGAGGAGGTCGAGGAGGACGATAACGAGACACATGACGACTGGGAGGGCGACAAGGAGGAGGAGGAGGAGGAGGAGGAGGAGGAGGAGGAGCGAGCTTGTCTCGACGTTTGCAAGACACAGTTGCGTTCTCGTAAGTTTTCTGCTCTTGAGAAGGAGTCAATTCGGAACCTCTGCTGTGGTGGGGCCTGGGCAGCTGACAGGGCCGCCAGCGTCGGGCACCAGCTCGGCGATGAACAGTTGCTCTGCCCGCTCTGTGGTCTGTGCAGGGGAAAAAAAAAGAGGAGGAGCAGGAGAATGAGAAGGAGGAGGACGAGGATGGCGCGGACGAAGACGATGAGGAGAAGGGGGAAAAGGAGGTCGAGGACTCTGGCAGCGATCTTGGAGTTTTCTGGAGTCTCCCTCGCGGTTACTTTGGGGCCATCTTTGGGTTTGGAGCTCTTTTGTGTGTAGCGCCTTGATGGGTCCATCTCCGGCGCCCGGGTCGTGAGCGAGGAGGAGGAGGCTGGGGAAGGAGTGCAAGGACGAGGAGGATGGGAGTGGGCGAGGGCGAGAACAGGGCCTAGAACTGAGCGAGGTGGACGAGGGAGGCGAGTGCGAGGCGGAGGCAAGAGGAGGATGAGAAAAGCAGAGAAAAGGAGCAGAGCAAGTAGGACGAGGACGACGAGGGCGAGGGTATCGTCGACGATGCGAGGGCGAGGACGAGGAGGATGGCGACGATGTGGCTGGAGGCCAGGACGAGGCCGAGGAGCTGGGGGAGGAGAGGGCAGAACATGAGGAGGACGAGCAGGGGAAGCATGACGAGGGAGAGAGTGTGTGTGTGTGTGTGTGTGCGGAAGAACTAGAGGAGGAGGAGGAGGAGGAGGAGGAGGAGGAGGAGGAGGAGGAGGAGGAGGAGGAGGAGGAGGAGGAGGAGGAGGAAGAGACACCCAAAGCCCATTCAGAAGCCCTGCCCATGAGAGCTGTCGGGAAATAGAGAGAAGAGACACATATAGTGAAACCGAGCGTGCAAGGAGAGGAGAGAAAGGAGGGTGTTGAGCCATCTTGGAGGCTATCTTGGAGCATCGGATGCCATCTTGGAGCTACGGGGCTGCATTGGGGGATTTTGGGTCCTCTTGTGGCTCTTTCGGGGCGTCTTGGGGCCCTCTTGCGGCTCTTTGGGGGGTCTTGGGATCCTCTTGCGGTTCTTTTGGGGCGTCTTGGGCCCCTCATGGGGCCCTCGTGGGGCTCTCTTGGGGCCCGCTTGGGAGCTATGGAGCGCCTCCTGGGGCCATCTTGGAGACAATCGATCAAAGGAGGGGGGGTCCTCGATTTCCCTCCCCCTCTGGGGCCATCGAAATAGCCTCTTGGGGCGCTCTTGGGGTCGTCTTGGGGCGATCTTTGGCGCTCTTGGGGCAGTCTTAGGGACCTCTTGGGCCCTTCTTGGAGCTCTCTTGGGCCACCTTGTTTTGAAGGATTTGGGCTTCTCGGAAAGGTCCTGAGGGGTCGCCAACAGAACCTGGAATCGTCTTGTGGCCCTCTTGGGGCCTCTTGGAGGCATATTGTTAGCTATCTTGAGCCACGTTGGGCTATCTTGAGCGATCTTGGAGGCTACCTTGGGCTCTCTGAGACCCTCTTCGAGCCATCTTGGGCGAACAAAGACCCTCTGACACCTCGCGGCCCCCCTCCCAGTCCAGGCCCAGGGGAAGGGGGTAGGGGGAGGGGTGAACAGCTCCCCGAAGGGGAGGAGGGGCTTCTGGAAGAGGGACAAAAAGATCCCCCTAGACCACCTGCGACCAGAGGGGCGACGCGAGGCCTCAGCAATCTTTTGGTATACGCTCGGCGGCGGGCGCTCTCTGGCTGCACCGTTGGGGGAACGATGTGCTTGGGCTCGCAGGGCCTTGGCCGCAGCAGTGGACACATCTTGGGCTCGCGCGTCGGGTGGCCCTGGCTCTTGCTTCGCAGAACGCGGCGGGGCCCAGCGCACACCAACCTTTGCAGGCGCGGTGGCGGATATGCTCTGGTCGGGTGCACGCCGGCAAGGAGGACGCGTAGTGCTTCCGTGTCTTCCTGCGTCCCACGGGAGGCGCGTCGAGCCTGTCTGCCCAGCGGCCACGACGCCTGACACGAGGCAGGCGACGACACCGGCTCTGAGGCTCCGCTACCTCAGCCAGCCCAATTGGATCACTTCTCACTGCTGCAAGTGCTGCTGCCTCCTCCTCCTCCTCCTCCTCCTCCTCCTCCTCCTCCTCCTCATCATCATCATCATCATCATCATCATCATCATCATCATCATCATCATCATCGTCATCATCATCATCATCATCATCATCATCATCATCATCATCACCATCATCATCATCATCATCATCATCATCATCATACCTCCTCCTCCTCCCTCCTCCTCCTCCTCCTCCCTCGTCAATCCTCCCTTCTCCTCCTCCTCCTCCTCCTCCTCCATGCTTTTCCCGGAAAGGGCTTAGGCCCAGGGTTCTCTTTTAGCGTGTTAACCTCCGGTTCTGACGGCTGTAGGGCCGGCGAAAGTATTTTGCGATAAATATCGAGGTCGCGTAGGGCCGGCGAATTAGAAATTTGAGGATGTCCCTAGCGACACGCTTGTTTTCAGAATTTGTTGAGGATGTCTCGAGCGAAACGCTTGTTTTGTGTTGTACATTGTCCTCTCCTGGGGACATGAATTCAGAGGATCGCTCAAGTGAAATGCTTGTTTTCACGTGCCCAGGTCTTGAGGATGTCTCGAGCGAGACGCTTGGTTTCACGCCTCCAGGTTGTCCAGACAGATGTCTAGCATGAGGATTTGTTGAGGACGTCTCGAACCAGAGGCTTGGTTTCACGTGTCCAGGTTGCCCAGGCGGATGTCTAACATGAGGATGTGTTGAGGAAGTCTCGATCGAGATGCTTCTCTGCACGTCTCCAGGTTGCCCAGGCGGATGCCTAACATGAAGATGTGTTGAGGATGTCTCGAGCGAGACGTTTGCTTTCACGTGTACAGGTCGGCCAGGCGGATGTCTAGAATGAGGAGGTGTTGAGGATGTCTCGAGCGAGACGTTTGCTTTCACGTGTACAGGTCGGCCAGGCGGATGTCTAGAATGAGGAGGTGTTGAAACACGTCTCGAGCGAAACGCTTGTTTTCGCGTGCCCAGGTCACCCAGGCGGACGTCTCACATGAAGATGTGTTGAGGATGTCTCGAGCGAACCACTTGTTTTCACGTGTCCAGTTCGCCCAGGCGGATGTC